GTAACGGTTGATCTTTTCATAAGTTAGAACAACTAAATTAATCATACTGACTATATGTTCTAAAAAAGTGATTATGATCAAGTTAGTTTATAAGCAAATTCGTTTATAATTAAATCACTTGCTTCACATTCTATGTAGTTTACAATAAACAAAACGTTTCTAGCAAGAATACTTAGAATTCTTTTGTCTATTATGTGTTTAGTATGAAATGTATTTCAGACTAAATCAATAAAACTTTATAGATCAACGTTCAAGTTCATAATTTTGCTCTTTACCTATGTACATTCAGTTTTCAATCAATTGGTGATAGGACAAACTAACTAATGGAATCGACAGTTAATACTTAACTTATAGTTAATTAATTCACATTATTTCAGTTTCTACAAATAACTTACGAAAAGAAAGCAACTAAAAATATACATGAAATGATTTTGTGATGAGACTGTAATTTATAGACAAACCAATCAGATATAAGATAACAAGTCTTAAATTTTGGCGTGAAATTCATGCATACATTTGGCTAAATAGCGTTTCGGCATTATAGCTGATGCCAGTTCGTGATGAAAACCCTAAATCTAATTCCTAACCCTAACTATCAACTGTGAATAATAATCCTTATTCTTCATACAGGTTTATAACTCTTATTTAGTCCTAATCAAGAGGTGTCCATTCTCAAGGTCACTTCAGCGTCGGTAAAAGATCGTCCATAAATTATGGTTTCACCGATTTTGTTTAAAATAGTTTGAGCACAGAGTGATGAAAAAAAGAGGCAGGATCAAACAATTTTATCGGAGTGAAACTATAAACTATGGACGACCCTTGAGTGATGGGAAGATGGCCTTGGGAATATCTACTTAGTTAACAGGGCTAAATAAGTGTTATAAACCTGTGTGAATAATAAGAATTATGATTCACAGTTGATGGTTAGGGTTAGGAATTAAATTTAGGGTGTTCATCATGAACTGACATAAACTAAAATGGCTAAATGCTCTTTGACCAAATGGATGGATGAATTTCGCATCAAAATCCAAGACGTGATATCATAAATGTAATTGGTTTGTCCACAAATTATAGTCTCGCTGTTGTATTCTCTAAGCATTTAAAAGTATACAGTCTCATTATAATCATTCTTTTCAGTTACAAATTATCTTTATTATCTTAGTATTAAATGATAAAATGAGAAAAAGTAGATCTTCACTATTCATTAGGATGACAGAAAAGTCATCCCAAAACTACTTTTTGTCAAAGATTTTACCATTAATTTACGATAATCAATTTCTTATGTGGGAATCAATAACTATAACTAGATAACCCACTTTAATTATTCCTAAATAATATCATTATATCCGTATATTTATAATATTATAATAATTGAATAGTTGAGATCATGAGTCAGTTGAAGTTAGATCATCATGGAAAACCTGGAAGTGTTGGACAGCCGTTTCGTCCTATTGTAGAACGTCTCAGAAGTGCGAATCTACGATTCCGCCTCGCGAGATTTTTTGATTTCTATTTCATTATCTTATCTTAGATAGTAGATTAAGTCAATATTTTTATTGAACATATTCATTTCACAAATATTTTAGGTATCTAAATAGATGAAGCTTCATAATTTTACTACGAAATCTGTAAAATTTCTATTCATGACAATATGATTAGTCAGAATGGTATTACTAGTATGGGGGTTGTGGAGATTATTACGTTTTTGATTGAGATCATGAACCGATTGATGTTAGACCACCACCTTCGGAAACCTGGAAGCACTGGACGGCCGTTTCGTCCTATTGTGGGACTCCTCAGCAGTGCGCATCCACGATCCCGCTCGCGGGATTCGAACCCAGGGCCTTCGGTCTCGCGCGCGAACGCTTAACCAACCGGACCACTGAGCCGGCATCCAATGGTGATAGTGTCTAACATCAACCAATCCACGAAATTGCGCGACCAACTTCCATTGTACTGAGGTAGATACCTGTCTCTACCCGACTGATCACGGCTTCTCACTAGAATGGTATTAATCTAAATCAACGTCACTCTAAAAATATCTGTATTTATCTATCTAAAATAAAGAACAAACATGAGATTTATAATTAATACTTAAAATTATAGAAAAAATCTTGCTATTCAAACCCCCTTTGTGTATTCAAAAACAGTTTATTGTCATCTTCAACCCACCCTGATAATATTAACTTATTATCCAAAGTAATGAAGTTTCATATTGTTTTCACATTATTTTTTTATTATCCTTGTCCCCTTTTGCCCTTCATTTCTAGTCTAGTTAACCTTTAATTCTTCAAATGTAAATGTTCTTAACAAATATATTGTGTGTAGCCAATTTGTTCGAAAGGTATTGAGCTTGTAGCGGTAAATAAATCCCAAAAATAAATAGCTCTATAAGTTTTCGACATTGGATGCTGACCACATGTTTTAATGGACTCACCTAGCTGAAGGCGCTCGGTCATGCATCCGTACCAGATCACGAGTGGGAACGCCGTGCTCAACATCTACTGCAATCGCTAGCTAGATTAGATCAGACGATTCTCGAAATATTGATATTACATCAAATATATCTTCCAATCTCCTCGATTCTGTCTTTTGATTTCTCTTGGTGGGTACGAGTTATATTAGAAGGTGTTACTGGTTAAAGCGTTGTCAAACACTGAATACCTGTGCCATCTTCACGCTAATATATCACATAATTCTGATAAACATCTTCTTATTACACTATCAAAATTTATCAAAGAGACTAATTGCTTTAAATCTTGTTATTGCTCGAAGTAATTCAATTACCTAAGAGTAACAATTAGATTTTATTTATTTATTGTAAAGTATTTTCATCTGATTTTGATATAACTATTTACTTAGGAAAAGAAAGTATTCGAAATCTGTAAAAGTTAAAATAAACCATGGATATAAATCGGTAATTAGTTATCAATTTTCTTTCTTTTTTTAAAAGGATCAAACACGTATCTCCCATTCATAAGATTTGATAAATGTCCTTCAATGATGTGAACTTTTTGAACTAACTACAAAACTTTCGTTTGATATTTAAATTTTAGGTCACAAGATTAAATTAAGACAAATTATACTGAAATGAATTATCAACATTGGAGACTAGGGGAGATGTTTTATCCTTGATACGTTTCGAACTATGGAGAAACTATTGTGATATTATCATACTTCTATAAGTCTACTTAATATAGTCGTTAATTTATTAAGTCCATTCACAACACGTTTGGCTACGTCAATAAAAACTAACCACTTTGACTCAACATGTTGTGCACAATAAGTATAATGACAGCCCTTTTTAGTTTATTTATATCAGTCAGTCATAACATTAGAAAATCCAGTTGAATTACTTGGTAATGAGATAATGGAGAAGATTTGTAGCTTAGGTGGATGATTTTGATAGAGTTTTGTTCTCTGAGTTGAATGGTTTGGTCAAGGAGCTCTCATCGTTCTCATGAACGACATCATCAGCAGAAAATTCAGGTAGAAGTGAATTATTCGAATTTCTTCACAAGTGGTTCACAGCTTGTCCTGTAGACCTTGATGTTGGTGTAGTGAGAAGCCGTGATCAGTGAAGTTCAACCAGGTTTGTTGTGAAATAGTAACTCACTGAAGACAATGGTGGACGATGACGCAATTTCGTGGATTGGTTGAAGTTAGATACTAATACCGTTGGATGCTAGCTCAAAGGTCTAGTGGTTAAGTGTTCGCACACGAGACTGATAAGTCCTGGGTTCGAATCTCACGGGGCGGGATCGTGGATGTGTACAGCTGAGTCCCATAGTAGGATGAAACGGCCGTCCAGTGCTTCCAGGTTTTTCGTGGTGATTAGCTTCAATCGACTCATGAATTCAATTGTTAAATTACTGCAATCTCCACAAAACCCTTCTCTGATTTAACCGGTTATCAAATTTTTATTTAATTTTCAATACCTCTATAATTAAAGTCAGCCTGTAATAAAAATCGGTTTCATTGTAATACTTATTCTAAGTATACCATGTAAGTTTATTAGAAAAAATTTCAAAGCCTATACTGTTAGCCTAGATCTATTTCATTACATTTAATCATATTACAGTATTTTGCAGGTATCAGTGTTAAGGTTAAACTTGGTAGTTTCAAATAAACTGAGCATTTGGTAGAAAGTTAATGATAAATATATTTCTTATTGTATTTCAGTGAGTAGAAAAATTGTATTTTAGATGTTTCGTAACTTAGGGAAGGTCACTTCTTCAGAGAATTCATAGTTTATCTTCATTCAGCAAAACATGATAATGAAGCTTAAAGCATTACCAGGAATAAGAGGCGATAGGATGCAGGGACTTTTTAACATCACTGACTTTATACTTTGTTGAAATTTCCAGGTTCAGGTATTTCTACCAACATCTGGTTCCGAATAAAATATTGAATATTCACTACACCAGAGTTTCAGATTCATAAGCAGAGCATAACAACAGCTTCAACAAGATCGAATAAAATTTCTAAGTGGAAAAAGGTAAATGGTTTGGATATAGAGTTTTCAAGATTACAGTGAGAAACCATAATCAGTGTTTTTAACAAAGCTAGACATTTATCCAATTATGAAAGCGAATGAATATTGCTCTCCATGGTATAAAATGAATTCAACTTTCTGAAATGGTAAATGAATATTCACTAGCTGAACGATACATCATTTATTGTGAGACTTAAAGTATAAAACACTCATTTTGAACTTGTTAGTTGTTGAGCACTGCTGATGAGTCCCAACTTATGGAGAAACAGCCGAAGAAGTGGCCTACATCAAGTTACGAAACGCTGGAGATACAATTATTTACCACATTATTACGTATATTGATATATCCATATTGACAACGGGTTTATAACAGAATTTCCAACAGCTAGAAAACACTGATAATCTATTAAATTATTATTTAGAAATTATATTGGAAACTTTGGTAGTAAAATATAATTCTACTATTTACTATTATTATTATTTTTTTATTATTATTATTATCAAGGCTGCAATTAAAATGAATCGTTTATACAAAGAATCAAGAAAATTAGCCAGACGAAGTCGAAATGAAAAGAAGCAAAGTTTGAAATTTTATCGAAAACATCCTAGCAAATTTGGAAGTAAACGAAACTCAACAAGAGGAACAGACGAGGAAGAAAATGAAGAACCACCACCACCACCACCACAACAACAACAAGACCTAGAACAAACACTGAAGGATGAAGTATTACATAATCAAAATAATGAAACAATTACATTAGAAACAAAACTAACAAATCAGTCATCAGTATTATCCCCTTTTCTGCCAGTTATTTATCCAAATGAAGTTGTATCATTAACATCTAAACGGAATACTTCAGAAAGTACTTTAAATGAGTCAGAATTTAAACAAGGCCAGATCAATACTGAATTGATTAAAGTAAGTTCATCATATTATGCATTAAATTTATTAAAATAAAATTAACCGCATTTATTTTATTGATTGTGTGAAACATAACAACAAGCAGGAGATAAGTATTTACTATGAGAAGTTACCAAGTATTTATATAAAATTTAATACATAACCTCTAATCATCCATTTGCATCTTTCGATCAGTTCTGCCATCTGAAGGGTCTTGTCGTTTAGTCTCCAAGTGTTCAGCCAACGCCGTGCATTCAATGCACTGGAACTCATCATTCTGTCTGACAATTATAACAAATTCGATGTCACGTTCTACTACACACTACTTACAAATAATCTTGTGACTAGCGTCCATTACAACTTTTGTATATAGGATAAATGAAGTAAGAATTTTTTGTCAATATCCTCATTATAATGATTGTTGACAAGAGATATTGAAATTTATTCTCTTTTGTTTTCACTGGTTGAAATCATGAGTCAATTGAAGCTAGATCACCATGGGAAACCTGGAAGCACTGGACGGCCGTTTCGTCCTAGTATGGGACTTCTCAGCAGTGCGCATCTACGATCCCGCCCTCCACGAAATTCGAACCCAGAACCTGTCAGTCTCGCGCCAGGCGCTTAACCATTAGACCACTGGGTTGTTCAGCATCCAACGGTGTTAATGTCTAACTTCAACCAATCCACGATGTTGTGCCACCGTACATCATTGTCTTTTGTTTTATTGCTACAAGGATCGGAAGCTATTTTTATAAGCTTGAAAAGACGAATAAAAATATGGGGGTTTTGTGGAGACTGTTGAATTTTCAAAATTTATTTCACGGACTGATTTTAGAATAACAAGTCATAGAAAACTAGAAAACATCAAGCAGCTCTTTCATCTAAAACTACTCAACAGTACACGTCAGCGGTCCACTACGACCAGTGGAATTTAATCATATCGAGTATGAGGCCTTGGAAGATAGTTGCACAATTTAGCGAATTGATTGATGCTAGTAATATAAACTACTGGCTGCTAACTCAGTAATCTAGAGGTTACGTGCTTACTGTGGTATTGAAAGGTTGTATGTTTGATTATCGGTGTAGTTTTGGAGGTACAGTGGTGTGGAATAGTATAATACGACAAAATAACTGTCCAGTGCTTCTTAGTTTTCAATAGTTATCCAACTGAGACCAGTTCATTATGTGAACTGTACAAAAAGCAAGTGACTTATATATCATGGAAAAAAACTATTTTATCGAGTTGAAAATATCAATCGAAACTGTTTACCAGTCAATAAGAAATGCCGTTTCAAGTTTTTTTCAAAACTTCAGTTCATAGTATTTAAATTATTAGAATTATTATTCAGAAGAGAATTTAAAATTGATATCCTTCTTAAGTCTTTATTGTAATAGGAAAGTTGGTCTGGATGCAATCGAATCATGACCCCAACCATTGAAATTACTATAATATCCACAAAACTCTTCTGAAAGTAATCAACATATGCTGACTAATGACTGGCTTCAAGAGGTATTTCCTGGAGTTCTAGTGAGAAGCAGTGGCCAGTGAAGTTCAACCGGGTCTGTTGTGAGATAGTAACTCACTGAAGACATTGCTGGATGTGTCGCTCAAAGTCATGGGTTGGTTGAAGTTAGACATTAACACCGTTGGATGCCGAACAGCTTAATACTCTAGTGGCTAAGCGCTCGCGCGCGAGACTGATAGGTCGTGCGTTCGAATCTCGCGGGGGGAAGGATCGTGAGTGAGCACTGCTGAGGAGTCCCATACTAAGACGAAATGGCCGTCCAGTGCTTCAACGTTTTCCATAGTGGTCTAGCTTCGACTGACTCATGATCTCAACCATTGAAAATCAATAAAAATACTTTACACATTCAATGAATATATCCATTTATTACATAAAAATATGATGGTATATATAAATCAGGTGTGCATTCATTTAAATATGCGTCGAATAAATTAACTTGCTAATTCCTCTATACAACTAAATTGTAAAAAAAGGAAATCAGTTAACTAGATTATGTAATATGTAATTTGATCTCTTTCTCTAACAAGATTATAATCAATTAATTCACTTTTTTTCATAACTTCACTTGGTAATTGTATACTACTAATAATGGTAAGTAATTGAATTACCTTTGTAACCAGTTTTAAAATCATTTTACAGTTTGAGCGTTTTTGTTTCTATTAACAACAAAAAAATATATGTTCCTTAGAAGTTGAAAATGAATGTTTGGTTTTCTTTGTTAATATGAAATAAACATTTAATTTAAATCAGTGTAATTATCATATAGAATGTATTACAAATCTTAATAGTATGAAGATAGATTATAAAGAATGTTTCAATAGTTGAGATCATGAATCAATTGAAACTAGACTATCATAGAAAGCCTGGAAGTTCTGGATAGACATTTTGTCCCACTGTGGGACTCCTCAACAGTGTACATCCATGATCCCACCTCGCGAGATTCGAAACCCAAGACCTATTAGAAAGATATAGCATGATCTACTAAAAATATAGTTTTCATGAATAAATTTGTGATATATAATGGTAAAAGTAAAACATGATTAGTTACTGCGTGTAGACAATCGGCTACGAGCTATGGACTATTAATGATGTGATTTCTTATCCTTTTATTGATTTCTGCTCTGGACTCACTGAAAGTAATTGTTTGTAATTGTGTAGAATAAAAATATTGTCTAGCCTATGCTCTAGTTCTATATTCAGAGTTGTGAATCCTGGTTCTGACATATCGTATTACCATTATTATCGAAGTATACCTAGAGTGAGAAAATTAATTTAAACCACCCATTATATCAATTTGTTATTATTGTCACCTTTAATAAGTATTTGAAATCAATGTACTACTTATTAATTAAAATTTTCTAAGTAATATCATGACTGATTTATTGGTTTCTGGAAAATTTGTATTTACAGATTTCATATAAAATCTCTCGAAAATTGAATAATCCAAAGTATTATTAGGATTGCTAAATAATTTAACGAAAATCAAATTAAACATTTTTCGTAACTGATTATCAGTATGACGCCAGATGATAGTATAATTACCCGGTTAACGTTTATTATAATTATTATCGTTTGGGTTATTTTTAATAAACACGTTCGGTATTTTTTCACCTAGACGAGTTTCGTAGCTGTTTTACCTTTAGATAGTGATATATTCTGTGTTAAGCGGAACGGTGGACAATGAATAGTACCAAAGTACAAATTCGTCTTAGTTGAATAACCACCGAAAACATGAAATCCCTGGACGACTGTTTTATCTTAGTATAGAACTCCCCAGCAGTTCCCATTTACGCCTCCGCATCTTGTAGTCAAACCCAGGACCCTTGATCTCGCTCACGAACTTTTCAACTTCAGATCACTGAGGTATAACTAAGATCAGTTCGTAATCTCAGAATTTGAAAATCCCACAAATCCCTCCCTATACCAATGAATAGTTCAATTGAATTACACTGCAGCTGATCACTGTCGAACAACAACACCGATGAATCAATCAATCAACTAATTGAAGAATACCGTGAAACGAGATCAAGAGATTTACAGAAAATCTGCTGAACTCTTTCTAATGGGTATATTGGGCTTAAATTGACTTTGGATCAAAGAAAAATCAAAACAAGACGCAATTCCAACACGTTGATTGAAAACTCATTGATAGATTTCATTTTTGTGTTTTGTAACTGTAAAATGCAATCTGTGAGAATCAAAAACTTCAGTTGTTGATGAATTGCATAGAAATACCCTTAAATTTTAAATTAAATATGGTAATTTTGATTGAGAACGCCAATGAAACTTCAGGTCTATCAATCAAATAATATTCACCAATGAATCCACATTCACGATAGTTAGTGTTCAATCATCAAGAGTTAATCAAAAGTCAGTCATCAACCAAAGAGAAGCTACATGATGGTCGAACACCTATCAACATTTTTGAAATCTTATTTCACTAAAGTTACTAGTTCTCGCGTATTATAGGCTTTCTGACATATATGGGCCTATATAGTGATTGGTTCAACAATGTTCTCTGGTAAGCTCATTTGAAATTTTGTTGAACTTCTTAGTGCCAGATTAAATACTTTCATCACTTCTGATTTATTAGTAGTTTTCGCGAGTTGTGTAACGTGTTCTGTTTTGTACTCTCACCTCAAATCGTTAAAGTTGATTCGAAAATCAAATGTGTTTAATTTAATAAAACAAAAACCTCCACTCCGCAATTTCTCTCATTCTGAGTTTATTTTAAAAAACATTTTCATTATTATTTCCATTCTAGCCAAATATTTCATCATGGCTTGAAACAATAAATGAAGGGAAAGACGATCCTAATGATCAAGAATCAGTGAAACCTTCAAAGCTCGACACTTCACGCTCTATACAACATCCTTTACAAAGGAAATATTCAATTTGTGGAAAAAATCAGACTCGTCAAAGTATCGCTTATTCAATTATCAGACATAGAGAAAACCAGTTGCGTAATTTAAAAGCAGCATTAAGTGAAGCACCAATAGCGTATCTATGGAATGATAATTTAAATAAAAGCACAACAAAATTGAAAACAAAATTCATTTGTTCAAAATATAAAGATATCAATTTACAAGCAAAACGTTGTATTCCTGGTTCTATTGGCGGTTTATCAAATTATTTCCTAGAAATTATTGCTTTACCTAAACCTGCATTGATTCGTTTCCCACCACCGACTAGTATGCATCAATATATACATAAAAAAATATTAGCTAAAGAGAAACAGCAAATGCAACAAAATTTGAATAGATTAAGTCATTTAACTGAAGAAATGAAAAGAGTTTCAGGTAATTTATACCTTTTTGTATATCGTTACTGTCATTTTAATTAATGGTAATTTTGTTCAATCTTCAACTGAATTCGGTTTTAATTAACTGGTACAACTGACAAGTCTGTACATAATCATCACCTAAACACCATTGAATATTTCATTGAAATTACGAACATAAGTTAGATAACCATTGAGCATATGGAAGCACAGGATGGCCGTTTCGCCCTAGTATAAACTCTCCAGCAGTGAGCATCCACGACCTTGCATCTGGTAATCGAGTGTCCTACACTCGATCTTGTACTCAAACGTTTAAACTCTAGGCCACTGAGTCGGCATCCAACGATATTAACTTTTTAACATAACTCAATTGGTAGTTGCTATTAATAAATAGACATTATATATTATATCATGTTTATCTGCACATACTTGGGTTATTCCACAATAGCTAAACTTTTGAACTGAGTTGGATAGTAATCAGCAGTGGAATCCACGTTACGTCTTATTTGTGACTTGTTCCGGTGTGAACATTCGCATAACAGTGTAGTTACATCCGAAATGCTGACCGTCAACAGAGTAAAGTTTCGGTTACAGGATTAATGTTATTTTACAAATATCTAAAACGATATAGATTTTAGTTAAAAACTTGACAGATTGGAATATCAGTGTTAAGTTTTGCGTATAATCTATATCAAATCAAATAATGTACACCGATCAAATACAATGATCTAGTTGAAAATTGATACTCGTTATTAATAATACAAGAATAATGAGTAGCTGTTATACTATAGTGTTTTATGAATGTACAGTTTCATGTAGAGTACTCACGATATTTATCAATTGTACAAGAATGGTGAATTTGCAGGAAAAACACTCACGAAACCCATCAGTATTTATCTATTCATCATTATGTTTTTAGAAATCTATGTGTTACAAGTTAACATCATGCGGAAAACTGAAGTTAATGTAAAAGCTATTTTTACACTACATCTTAAAATTTTTATTTATCTATGAACTGTATTGAAAACGTAATCAGGACTGTCAGTCGTTTACATGATGAGTGCAGATTCTGGATCCATAGCCTCCTTCCAACTAACTAATTAACTTTAAATATCTGAAGTGTAATTTCAAATTATATAATTTTTTAACTAGATTTAAAAATTGGTTAATAATATCTTATCCGTACAAATAATTAGGCAATATGATGTTAATATTATTTAAATAAGGAAATAATTTGAAATCAGTGGTTTTGACATCTTATTACCCAGCACACGATCTAAAAGTTCAGAATTTCCAGAATAAAACAAGAACCCAAATTTCCCATCTAATGAGCCTTCTATTTCGATGTTTAGTGTTCACTAGAGTTAAAAACCAATAACAGATTATGTAATGAACGAGAATACAATTAGGGACAATCGAATGTATTTGAATATAAAATTACAGAACGTCTTAGTAAAATCTGAGGACCATACAATAAATATTTCATTTGGAAAATGTCAATCAATCATCTCAGATTTCATTGTTCTTTCGTTCATATACCAATCACTCTTTGTTCTCGTTCACTTTCTTCATTCTTCTTCGCTTTTTGTCACCAGACATTTCACTTTTGATTGATGATACATACTACTTATATCTATCGACATCAGTAGCACACATTCCACAATTGATATATATATAGAGAGGATACATAGCATGCTTAAAAACCCTAAGATGAAACGGAATCAAAATTCAATTAATTTTTCTCTTGGAATTGAAAGTTGATTTCAATTGAAAATACTTGAAACAAAATAACAATGTGTGAATTCTTATTTCTTTTATTGATCAATAAGCCGGCTAAATTAAATACCTAGATAAATTCAATTATTTCTTTTTCCCGCTAACATAAAATATCAAACAACTCATATTAAATTAACATAGTTAATTTCACTAGTTGAAATCATGAGTCAATTGAAGCTAGACCACTATGGAAAACCTGGAAGCACTGGACGGCCGTTTCGTCTTAGTATGGGACTCCTCAGCAGTGCTCACTCACGATCCCTCCCCCCGCGAGATTCGAACGCACGACCTATCAGTCTCGCGCGCGAGCGCTTAGCCACTAGAGTATTAAGCTGTTCGGCATCCAACGGTGTTAATGTCTAACTTAAACCAATCCAATCAACATAGTTAATGAATTTAAAACAAAATGCTATATATGTATATATATATATATATAAATTGAAAATAATTCAAATTTAATGAGGCATTTTCAGTTGATGTAAATATCTACTGATTAATACAATATTCTTATTAGATAGAATAATTAATTAAATTGAATATAAAGATGAAACATTTTACACTGTATTATTTCTTCATTTTATATTACAGAAGGTCAAAAATTGATGGCTGCATTAAAATTCTTACTGGCTTCCACAAGCAATGAGAAAAATGAAAATATTAAATCTGAAGGAATAAGAAATTAACAAGGAATAATGATCTTTTATCTTTGGAATAATAATTTATGACATATAGTTGTGTGTGTACTTAGGTAATAACACACTTTAAAATGTTTTCAGGTGGTTTGTATCTTATATATATCGTTTTGTTAAGGTGAACAATCCATTCTTTCCTCTATGTGCAGCACTCAGACACTGAACGAATGGAAAACTAGCATTATTCACTGGATGCAACACACGTATTGAATATACAAAATGTTGTGAATAACCTCGATCGATTAAACAGTTAGAGATGTGAACAATCCAACGATGAAATTTCTTTGTTTCTTTTTTACTATTGAAGTTATATTAATAAAACAAACAGTAAAATATTTATTTGGACGACAGAAATACATAGATAGAATGTACCAATGTATGAACCTATATGTGTTCACACGATTAATACAAGTCCGTTCACAAAATACAGTGGGTGGTATTCAATCCGAGTCGATACATTTAATGAAACCCAATAGTCTGAGATTGGATCCATTTAGGTATGTTTATTAGTTAGTCCGGTGTGCCATCTCAGAATTTGTGATTGAATTTTCTTCTAAATGTTTACATATAAAAACAGTATATTCTATAAATGTAAGATATATTACCTAAATATAAACAAGCATTTCAGGACGGATTTCATCATTAACTGAAAGCAAAACCCTTGTAAACTAAAGAAAAGTGAACTGTTGTCTCGTTCTAATTGGGGATTTCCTCAGCAACGCACAGTCAGATACCTGCACTATATTACAGCTCATAATCTACAAGTATCGTGATCAAAACAACGATAACATCGAGCGACGGGATCATACACCAGTGATTGATATTTTCAATGTCAACCGCCACCAAATGCCCTGGTACGGCCGAGAGTAGGGAGAGTCCGCTCTCCCTCTCGAAATGCTCTCACATGGCCACGCGTATATAGTCTCTGTCAGGGAAGTCCTACTCACTGCCTTCTCGCAGCGGGGGCGTTCTTTACGAAATTGAGAGGACGAAAAGAGAATGCCCGGAGCTCTAACCGGGTTGGTGGACATGGAGAGTCCACCTAGAGGAGTTGGAAAACTCTCATTCCAAATCAATGGTGCACATGGGCTCAAGTATCTTGAGGGAAAAATGGTGTATGAACCAATCGTTGGTCACCCGCTACCATGGGACTGCATCTCCTTACGATGCTCCACTGCATTGTGGATCAAACCTTTAGGTCGAAGGCTTTAGGTGTGGCCTCCTGAGAAAACGACTTTCTTCGGTTTGTGCACCCAGGCGGTACCACAGCCCTCACACAAATCAAATGAGATTCGTGTGGCGCATATGTATATGGTGCTCTCTTGTACCAATATTTATATGTTCAAATAAATAAATGTCAACCAATTCGGGATAGATTTCCATCGTCATTTCATTGAGTTAACTGATCTGATGCAATACCTTTCTAGGCTACTGTTCCCGATTATCCGTTGCCAATCGTGATGTATCTCAGTAGTGTAAGGGAATTTCGTATTTTCTGTACCACTAAAAGGTAGTGGATTCGTGGATAGACACTACTGAGAAGTTCCACCTAAACTATGACAAAAGAATAGTCTAGTATTTTCTTGTTTACAATCATTCCGTTCTATCATAAGTCAGTCAATGATGAAATTTTATTTTCAAAAGGACTAAATCTCCATAAACTAGCGAATGTTTTTTAAATATTTTAGTTTACATTCATATTCTTAAGTGGAGAAAATAGAGGTATGTGGACTCTATTGGAAAGCAATTAACATATCGGCAACGGATGTATCAGAAGTTCACATATAGGCATGTGATTTGTGCAGTTATAAACAATTGAAACCAAAACAAGTCTTTACTCACTATTCAACCACTTATTCTGTTTACATATCTGATGTGGGTCTAGATCTCCAGTTACGAGGAAGAGTTGGTGGTAGCTTGCTGGAGTTACTAAAATAGCATTGTCTGTAATTTGTTAGGCCGTTGACAAAGCGTAAAAAATATCGTTTCGTATAGAAGCTTCTTCATGACCTGATTGAACCTTTAGTCCAAGCAACACAGTGGACGACCATTAATAGAACAATTTTATTGCAACTCTGGTGATCAGTGCGAAACTGACACCGACTAAGTTGGATTACTGCGCAACAGGGTCGCCAGGTAACCACACATGAGTTATACTATATGAAATGACGAACAAATCCATAATATTTATCTTTAATACGGGTAAATCGGAGCTCATAGTGTTCCTCAGAACCTGCCTACTGTTTGGCTTGAATCTAGGTGAAAGTGTCAAATCTTTATGTAACAGTCATGGAATGTACAAATGACATGATACTGTCTAGGTATCTAAACGATCAAGAACGGGAAAGCAGCGGGACCCGACAACATACCAGCTGAAGCACTGAAGTCAGGCATCGAAGTAACTACAAACATGCTTTACCTTCTATTCAAAAAGATTTAGGAGGAGGAACAAGTGCCGATGGACTGGAAAGAAGAACACCTCGTCAAGATTCCAAAGAAAGGAGATCTGAGCAAATGTGAAAACCATAGAGGCATTACACTACTGTCAATACCAGGGAAGGTCTTCAACAGTGTTGCTGAACCGGATGAAAGATGCAGTAGACGCCCAACTTCTAGATCAACAAGTTGGATTCCGTAAGGATCGATCGTGCACAGACCAAATTGCAACACTACGGATCATCGTCGAACAATCAGTTGAGTGGAACTCATCACTATACATCAACTTCATTGATTATGAAAAGGCATTTGACAGTGTAGATAGGAGGATGTTATGGAAACTTCTCCGACACTACGGAGTTCCTGAGAAGATTGTCAATATTATCCGGAACTCATACGACGGACTACAGTGCAAAGTAGTGCATAGAGGGCAGCTGACAGATGCATCCCAAGTAAGGACCGGAGTCAGACAAGGCTGTCTACTCTCTCCCTTCCTTTTTCTTCTGATGGTCGACTGGGTCATGAGGACCTCGACATCTGAAGGAAAACACGGAATACAATGGACAGCTCAGAACCAATTAGACGATTTGGACTTCGCAGATGACCTAGTCCTCCTATCGCATACACACGAAGAGATGCAGACAAAGACAGCCAGTGTAGCAGCAGTCTCTGCATCAGTAAGCCTCAGCGTACACAAAGGGAAAACCAAGGTCCTCAAATTCGAAGCGGAGAACGGCAATCCAATCACTCTTGATGGAGAAACTCTGGAAGATGTAGAATCCTTCACATACCTGGGAAGCATCATCGATGAACAAGAAGGCTCAGATGCAGACGTAAAGGCAAGGATTGACAAAGCAAGTCAGTCAGTCAGTCAGCTACAACGTAGGACCAGGCACATATGTGCATCGGTCCAGGTTGCCATACCGCATCAGCACAACAAGATGAACACCGGATTCATAGCAGTGGTTAGGTCAAAGGTTGCAATAAGGATATAGTATAGGAAGGAAGAATTAGTTCGTAGAAAGAAAGATATGAAGTGAATTTAATCTCTTAGTTTAAGGGAAGACAAAGAGTGTATACACCGACGTCATTGTGATCGATTCTGAGCCATGTCACCAAGAGTCTCCAACCATTGGTTACGATAGTCACGCGGACCCCAACCGAGTAGTCTGCATCTACCAACATGGCTCAGACTAGAAGTTAGTGACTTCAAGCAGTGATGCCACGTTTTGGTTTGGTCGCCCCTAACTTTCTTCCAACCATTTCCAATACCGGTTAGCATTGCACGTCGTGGTAATCGGTGTTCAGGCATACGTAATACGTGGCCCAACCATCTCAGTCGATGAAGATTAACAACCTCATCAACTGATTTACCATCATTCCCTAATACCCTGCGTCTAACCTCACTATTACTTACCCGGTGATCCCAGCAGATGCCAGCAATATTTCTAAGGCATCTGTGGTCAAATACTTGTAGCTTACGGGTGTCTTCTACTCTTAAAGGCCATGTTTCGCTGCCGTAAATTAAAACAGAACGGACTGCCGCGCAGTATACTCGTCCTTTTATTGATAGACGGATATCTCGCCTCCGCCAAAGGTGATGTAAGTTGGCAAAAGCCAAACGAGCTTTTCGAATCCGTGCTGAGATTTCGTCAGACACCAACCCATTAGGGCTGATCAGACTTCCAAGATAAGTGAAGTTGTCGACGCGTTCGACTACTTCACTCCCTATCCTTAGTTCAGGTGTTGACGCAAACCAGTCCTGATGCAACAACTTGCATTTAGAGGGAGTGAAGCGCATTCCAATCATTCTGGCATTGTTGCTTAGTGCTACCAAAAGACTGCATTTTGTCAGCGTCTTCACCAAACAGGACTATATCATCTGCGTATTCTAAGTCGATAAGTGAACCTCCTGGAAGGAGATCAATACCCGAGAATTCAGTCGACGAGAGTGTTATTTCCATCAATAGGTCTATGATGAAGATAAACAAAAATGGGGAAAGTGGACAGCCTTGACGGACACCACTTGAAGTTGCAAAAGTAGATGACAGTTCGCCATAAGCCCTGATTCGACTAGTAGTGTTCGAGTAAAGAGCCTTCACAAGGTTTATGTACTTCTGAGGTACGCCTTTCAATGACAGACACTGCCACAGAGTCTCGCGGTCAAATGCTGCTTTTAAGTCAAGAAAGACCACCATCGTCGGACGCCGATAGGTATGCCTGTGTTCTAGAACCTGACGAATGGTGAATATGTGGTCGATGCAGCCACGACCAGGTCTAAAGCCAGCTTGGTTCTCTCGTGTTTGCAGCTCATAAGTCTTAGTTAGGCGTCCGATAACTATCGAGGCTAGTATTTTAGATATTATATTAGTTAAACTAATCCCTCTGTGGTTGTCACAGGATGATTTTGACCCTTTCTTATATATTGGGACGATAAGTGATTGTGACCAGTTAGATGGAATAACGTCTAACTCCCAGATTTTAGCTAAAATATTAGTCAACCTAATCGCTAAAATTGGACCACCATCTTTAAAGACCTCTGGAGCCAATCCATCTGGACCAGCTGCCCTTCCTCGTTTCAGATTAACTATAGCCTTTTGAACGTCTGCTAGAGTTGGGGGATCTACTTCAATGTTCCATTCACACTGTCTGGGAATGGAGGGTAGTTGTAGAGTAGCTGAAGGCCAGTTGAACTGTTCTCTGAAATGTTCCGCCCATCGTTCTAAACGTCTAGACTGGGAGCAGATGAGTGTATCGTCTTTTTCCGATATAATCTCACTTACACTTGACTTATTAATTCCAGTTTCTTTTATTAGTCGGTAGAGCTGTCTTGTGTTCCCTATAGCTGCCACCTTTTCCATC